AGATACTACAAAAATCAGTTTAAGTGAAAAGAAATAGAAAACACATAAACATTACAAAAGAAGACCTGGACCTGACTTGGGGTTTTACTTGGAACATTCACTTGGAATTCTTCTGTGTTCAGTTTTACTCTTTTTTTTTCTCCGTTTATTTGTTCTTTCTGTGTTCAGTTTTACTCTTTTTTTTTTCTCAGTTTATTTGTTCTCAACCTTGGAGAGCCCATTCAAAATCGATTTAAATCTGTTCAGTTTGATCACTAAATCTAACAGTATTTCCTCAGGAGTTGCTAAATTTATCTTGACCCTTGGCAGTCACAAGCAGTCTTTTTGCAAGAGATTATGAGTCAGTTTTGTAAATCCTAAGTGTTCCCAACTACTTCTTCACCTTTGCAGTGAACCACAGCAGATCTAAGTGGCAGAGAAGTAGATCCATGGTGAGATTAACGTCATAAAAAATTACTTTTCTCTTGAGCCTTTTCTAAGGTCCCATGGCCTTTAACTTCTAGTGAGACATGTCTGAGGTTTTAGGCAACCCCATGGATCTAGAACTTTGTTAAACATTGTTGACTTCACAGAGGATGAAGTTGCGCATAAACATGAAAAGTCCAGTACTTCCATGACTCAGTTCTCTCACAGAGGGAGGAGCATTTGCAGAAGCATCACTGCAAGGAGGTCCTACCACTCCTCTCTCTTTTCTTCCTGATGCTTAACCAGAATAGCATATTCCAGTGTGCCAATCAGCACTTCTGCCCATTATTTGGCCTATAATGTTTGCCTGTCCAGCTGAATCTTAGTCTTTTTTGTTGAATCTTAAGTAAGTTTTACCCATCAATGTCATTCATCTTAAAATGCAAAGAAGCTAATAACTTCATTAGTACCATTTGGTATTGGACAACTCAGACATCTTCTACATCAGTCAGCTCCCTCTACTCCTCTGGGGTAGTAGTAGCCATGCTGGATCTCACCTAGTTTCTCTAAATGTGGTCCAGTGAAATCAACAATAGCCGTCAAACTCTAAGAGGCCTCTCATGACCTTCTTTTCCTTTTCTGTATCTTTGGAATTCCAAATATGACTTAACAGCAGGATCTAGGTGTGATTTTGTCTGCAGGACGTAGAAAAATCATGTAGCCATTTTTTCACTGATGGTTAAAGGAGATGACTTACCAGTAAGTGGGCTTCAAATTGAGTTGTCCAGGTTTAGTATCCAATCTCCTTTCTTTCTCCCTCAACATTCCTATTTATTCATTGAATGATGAACTTAGTATTGATATCATAAAAATATTGTTTAAATGATCAAAAAATTGATGCCATTGAATGATGAACTTAGTATTGATATAATAAAAATATTGTTTAAATGATAAAAAAATTGATGTCCATAATTTCATCAATCTGAATTTTTTTCTGGAAAATAGAAGTTAATCAAAGGGTGATCCAAAGTTTTTCTGCCACCTTTATAATCTGAAAAGGTGGGTTCCTAGATTTGCCAATTTGCTATGCAATTCCTGTTAGTTACTGTATCTGGCTGTTTGTTCACAGTAGTTTCCACTGTGAGCACAAATTCCTCATCTGTGATATGCTGTTTACTGTGTCATTTCAAATAAGAGAGTAAAAGAAAATCCATTTTCTAAAAAAAAAACTATTTTAAGCAAAAAAAAAATATTTTCTGCAGCCCATTTGAATGAACAATCCCGAAGAACCACCAGTTAGGCATGTCAGGTGATAAACTGTCAACTGCTTTTATTGATTTTAAGAATGCTTGACATTTTTAGCAATTTTAAGAAATTCTTTGTTTTGCTATATCAACTATGTGAATTTCTGTGAGGTCTAAATTCATATAGGCCATTTTTTTAAACATGTATTGCTTTAAGGAATACAGGGCTCTTAGGCTCACTACTGAACTAATAGGAAAGCATGGGAACCTAGAGTCAGAGAAGAGGAGGGAGGTAACTTTTTTGTTGATTTTCTGGACTTTCTGGTCTCCCCAAAGTACCACAGTAGTACCATAACATAATGATACTGAGGACGTATCTCTAATAGAGCTTTCTGCGAGGTGTGGTGACTTCTACAATACTTCTTTTTTCTTTCTGTCACTGAAGAAAACAAAGCCAAACCAAAACCAACCAACCAAAAAACCTCCAAACCCAAAAATACATAAATAAGATTATTTCTATGTAGAAAATATAATTTCTAATTCAGTTTTATATGTCTTAAGGAAGAATAATTTCTTACACCCTCTTTCTTTCATCTTGCCTTCACTAGTACCCTCTTTGAAATTATGCTGGTACCCTTTGATGTGTCCTGAACTGTACTGTCCCAGTCCACTTGTCACATTTGGGGGAAGATTATTTTGAATTACTCTGAGCAGCACATGGGATAAATAATGCAATTCTCAGGAGGTTTAACAAGAAGTAATTTTTGCTTATAAACTCTGTGTCACCCATGTGGAATAAGACACCTGGCAAAAGGCAAGTCAGTAAACTTCACAACATTCAAAAGCAGTGCAAAATTTAATTCAGCACACCTTAGAGAACAAAGCTCTTAGCCAGGCATTGAACATGGCACCTAGTGAGTCATTAAGGGGTTCCTTCTCAGTTTGGCTTGTAATTCATATATTGAGAAGAAGATAACAAACAGAGAGAATAAGAGAGAAAAACAGATGAGAAAGAGAGTCACAACCTGTGCATACAACCTAGTCTCAACAGCTTCAAATCCAGGGTAGCAGAGCACCACACAACATGTCTCACTGTCCTTTTATCTGTTCCCTTTGCCCAGGGCCCTCCCCAGCATGAGCTCACACTTGCACCTGCACTTTAAGCAGAGTCAGGGTGCTATCAGCATCCATCTCAGGGCTTGCAGCAAGGCCACATGATTGACTGACACCATTTCAGGGCTTGCATCAGAGCCATGTAGTTGACCAATGCAAGCAGTCCCTGCCACATCATAGTTCACCCTGTTCCCCCCACTGCTTTCCCACCTGGTTGCTTTGAGCCAGGCAACCTTTCCTACAGTCTCTGACACTGAACCAAGTCCTTAAAAACTTACTCAACTCTACGGCGCTATACCTTGTCTGTACCTGTTCATGGTTGAGGACAGATGTATTTTCATTTTCCTCTCTTCTGTCACTTTACTTTGCTCTGTGATATTCAGACTTCTGATGACAATTTACAAGATTGCTGAAAGCTCTCCTCTTAGTCCAGTCTACTGTGTAAGATGAAGTCTGATGTGCAATTTTTGTAAATCAAGGATATTTATCCCATATTGTATTTCTATTTTGGTTTTGTTTGTTTGTTTTTCTTACCCCCACCCTGATAATTTCTGTTCAGGGACATGGTTGGTTGATTGTCCTTTTTTTTTTCTTCTATCCCATCTTAAGGCAGTGCCTTAAAGTTATGGAAACTGAATTCAAAGACTAATGGATTTCTGAGTACTTTCACTTTGCTAGTGACAATGTTGAGAACATGCACACCGTAAGTCCTTTGCCTTCTCCTCCAAAAGACAAAACCCAGAAATATGCATTCTTATGCTATGAAGCTCTACACTGATGTCTTGCTTCTACATCACAACAATGTATATAGCTGCCAGGTTATTCTGGCTTTTTGCGTCACTGAATTTTTTTCGCAACAGTGTTGCAGACCTGAAACACATCTCACGGAAAGCTGTTCAGGTGCCAGTTTGGAGCCCCAATGACAAACACACACATACCTATCCCCACAAAAAGAAGTTCAGTGTGAGAAAAATTGAGACATATCCTTGAGGCTGACAGAGGAGTATGGTAAAAGGATAAAATATATAGTAGTAAAGGAATATTTTTGATATATAATCTGGAAATCAGCATAGTAGAGAGGAAAATTTTAGGCAGGAGTATGTTCCTGTGTTTGGCTGACATGGCCTTGGCTTTGGCCTCTTTATTATCTTTTTGGTAAGGGATGAGTGCTTAAGTGGTCCACATTCCATTGTCAATGTCTATCTTCAGTTTCTTTCTGAAAACATCTGAATAATAACTCAATAATATTGAGAAAACCTTAAACCATTATTATTATGGACCTCTGTATGAAATTGGTTTTCCCAGAAGTTGATATTAAAAATGGAAATGCTATGGATAGTGTACATCCTATATTGTTGACATCTGTGGTTCTTTTCCATACATTTGAGGTTTCTTATTTTTCTTTTTTAAACAAACTGGTTAGCCCTGAAACTCAATTAGAACATGTTATCCTGTGTTGTGAGAAAAAAAATGTACATTGCATAAAAGCTGATCCAGCAAATATATTTTAAACACATATATATATATATTGAATAACTGCCATTAAGGCTTTAGGAAATACGCAAATGTATGCACTTCTTTGAAGGAATATAACACTAACATTTTAAATAAAATATCAGTTTGACTTTGGTTTTATTGCTTGGCTCCCTTTGATTTAAAGGAAACTATTAGTAACATGTTTGGTTTCCTAATTGTCTCAAAGCCTGAAAATAAGACTCAGATACAAAAGCCTTTCTTTCATTATTGATGTTTGCTTAATTATTCAGTTTCTGAAAGGCATATTATAAAATCATTTTCATATCTACCAGAACAAACCTCCATAGTTCCTTAAATCCCCAGGCATAGATCTGTTAAATCCTCTCACTGGTTACCTGTTCACATAAGAAGGCATGTGGGAGTGAGTTTCTCATATTATTATGCCATATAGTAATACACATTGCAAGACAGAGTGTGTTTATTTATGATAACTTTTTCAAAATCGTTTTTCTTTTTTCTACACTGCATTCCCATTACAGAGCACTCTCTCCATATCATTCTTGCACAGTACATTTCAACCACTAATCCAATATAAGAAGATGCATTCAAAAAAGAAGTATTGCACAATGAGCAGTTTCCTTTGTTCAGAAAGATTGGACGGTTCTTTATGATTAACAAATTACATGAGTAAGTAGTGGTTTTATA